TATTACCTATTTACTGATTTTTAATTCTGTTCGCCTTCCCTTTTCATCCCTGGTAACTGTCCAAGCGTGATACCTTCTGCTTGTAAATCTTTCTTAGCTTTTTATAATAGAGATCTATGTTACACAATGTTTTGTAATTTTTTAAAAATTATTTTTGTGTGTGTGTACACCATCAAAGCAGATCTGACTGGTACAGGAGGAGATTGTCCCTCCTTCCCTGGCAGAGCATCTGGTGGATTTGAACCGTGCGCCTCTAGGATTGTAGTTGCAGCTCCTTGCCACTGGGCCACCAGAGCTCCCCTGTAAATTTATTTTTTAAAAGATTTAATTTATTTTGTCTATTTTTTAAATTCCTAGAATTTGTAAATTTATTCTTATTCTTTCTTGATTCAGTTTTTACTTTTTTATTGGGATTTGAAGGAATGTTAATTTATTTCACTTTAAGACATTAATATTAATTAATAACTTTTTTTTTTCATTCAATCTTATTAACAAGACTGCAGCGGGCGGGGGGGGGGCAGCCCCACCTGTCCCCAGGTGACTCCACAAGAGGATGAATTCCCCTCAGCAGCGACATCCACAGCACAAAAGCGGTTCCATGAGCTCTGTCCTGTCCCCGTTCTCCTGAATCTGCTTGTGTTGGGTCCAACACCAACTGCCCTCCCAGGCCTGTCACTGCCCCACTGCGGGGTCACCAGCACCCAGAACTCAGGACCGCCCTCAGTTCCTGGGGTTTCTCAGGGAAGTCGCTCACGCATGGACTCAAGGCTGTCCAGTCAGAACTGACTCGGAAGGGACCCCCCACCCCACCCCCGCGGGCTCTCTGAGACTGTAAATCACCAGGGAGGAGACTGTGCATCTTAGTCCCTTCAGGCGGCTGGTGGATTCGAACAGGCAGAAGAGGTCTGCCTTGTGGTTATCAGCACAGCTCCCCACAGGAACAATGCCCCATGGGCTGCGCCACCAGACCTCCCTGGGAACTTAGGTTCAGGTTGGCAACAGGATGGAGTGTTTCAGCCAGGACAGCTTCTCAAGAGTTCCCGCAGAACCCTTGACCTTAAACCCGTAGCTTCAGGCTGGTGTTACAAAGGTCTCCATATCTTGTCATGTCTGCCATCTGCCCTGAATCCTCGAGCAAGCTGGAGCGAAGGCCCCTGGCTCGGGCCCCGCGGGGGAGCAGTCCTGGGTCAGCTCCACGGGGCAGCAGCCCCAGGGCAGCTCTGCCCCACGAGGATATCAAGAATGTTGTTGTTGTTATGTGCCATCAAGTTGTTTGTGACTCATAGCGACCCTATGTACAAGAGCCCTAAATGCTGTTCTATCCCGTGCCAACCTCACTGTCTCAAACACATTCATTCCCACCACTCCACTCACAGAATTGATCCATCTCATCAAGGGTCTTCCTCTCCTTTGCCGCTCCTCCACTCTCCCAAACCTGATGTCCCTCTCCAAGGACCAGTTCCCTCCTTGCAACATGCCCAAAGTATGTCAGACGAAGCTTCAGAATCCTTGATTCCAAGGGGCATTCCGGCTTCACCCTCTCCAGGACAAGAGGTCATTCCAAAGACAGAGGAAGAAGGAAAGACCGAGATGGCTGTCAGAAGAGATCCTGACTATTGCACCAGAGCACTGAGAAGCCAAAGCAAAGGGAATATAGCAGGCAGTTAAGGAGCTGAGCAGAACATTTCAAAGGGCCCGAGAGGACAAAGGAAAGTATTATAATAAAATGTGCAAAGAGCCGGAGTCGGAAAACCAAGAGTCGAACTCACTCGACAGTTCTTGGACTGAAAGAACAGAAGAACAAATTCAAGCCGCGAGTCGCAATACTTAAGGACGCCCTGGACAGACTATTGGACAAGCACTGAAAGAAGAAGGAAAGAGCACACGGAGCTGCTGTACCAAAAGAATCGGCTGCCACCAAAGAATTTCATGGAACAACATATGAACAAGAGACAGTGGTGATGAGGAACTTCAAGCCGCTCTGAAAGGATGTGAAAGCAACTTTATGAACGTGGCTTAGGCCTTCACCATGACCACGTAACTTCTTGCAATCTATGCAGCCTTTCAAAATGCTGATCATTCACTTCCTTAAAAAAAAAAGAGGAGAGATGGCATAAAATAAAAGGGAAAACATTGGTATGGGTGGGATCAGGGACACCTGACTCAAGGGAGGGTGGGCTCCAAGTTCAAGCTACTATTTCCGTCTGTGGGAGGAAAACCAATTAAAGAAATAACCCCCTAAAAAAAGCAGGCACGCATGTGAAACCTGGATGGCGACCTGGAAAAGGAGCTGTGTTACCAACACCCGAGGGAGGTAAGGGAGCTAGAAGGGAAACACAAGGAAAAATTACCACTTTGAAAACAAGGAAAATAGAGAAATGGGCCCTTTTCATGCTGAGAAGAGACAGACAGGCCGGAAGGCCAGAGGTGCTGGGAGTGGGTCTGTGCTGGGTGTGGGTCCCACACTCCCGGCCGGCCCCCCACCTCTATGCGGATGAAGTGCTCCGTTCCCTCGTGGCTGGGCCTCATCTCCTTCCTGGCTCCTGATGGTGGCCAGCTCCTGGCACCTGGCTGTTGTTCATAGTGTACCCATGGGACAGTGGCCTGTGGTCACTCAGCAGCTGGCGGTACTGGAGGGACGTGGCCATGGAGAGTGGGCGCTCCCAGCCGTGTGGAGGGTGGCGGTGAGTATGTGCACGTTCAAGTCCGGCTTGTATGCTGTCCACCCGACAGGGGCCACTCCCAGGCTGCAAACTTGGTGCAGAACTGCAGACCTGGGATAGGAGGGGGCGGCCCCTCGCCAGCGCCCCTGTTGTCAGGGCTCCACAGCTGGGAACTTTTTAAGACACCAAAGGCTACTCATAAAACCAGGATGTGGGCTGTTATCTTCAGGAACCGTCTAATGCCAAGTGGCCTAGAACTCCCCATCCTTCACGCTCGGGGCTCAGTCGCATGCGTGAATATACCGTCATTGCAGACAAATGTGGGCGTGCACATGCGCACAGCTGTCCCTGGACAGGCACGAGCGTGGAGGTTCACGTTGGCGCGCGTACCTCCAAGTGGGAACCGACCCCCCAGGGGATTTTCAGAGGCAGTTTAAGTGCACTAGAGGAGACTGCCCATCCTTCTCCTGGAGCAGCTGGTGGATTTGAACCTTGTGCTTTCAGGATTACCACTGGTGGCCCAATAGTAAAGCGTTGAATTGTCAAAGAAAAGGCACCTAGTTTGAGTCTATCAGCTGCTCTGCTGGAGAAAGATGGATAGTTTCCTACCGGGGATTGACGGTCTCTGAAAACCTGCTGGAGGGTCAGCTGTGAAATGGTTTGACTCTACAGCAAAACAGAAAACAACATATATGGTGCAGCAGAAGGTCGAAGACTGTAGTCTCCAACATCAAGAAAACAAAGATTCTCACCACTGGACCCATTGGCAGCACAGTGATGGGTGGAGAAGAGATGGAAGTTGTTTACAGTTACAGTTTGCTCTGCTCCACAATCAACACTTTTGGCACCAACAGTCAGGAAATCAAAAGCTGAGTTGCTTTAGGAGAGTCTGCTATCAGGAACCTCTCCAGAATGTAAAGGATCCAGAGGGCCTGATCCAAGCCATGGTCTTCTTAATGACTAGCTCTGATCTGAGAGCTGGACAATGACTAAGGATGACCGAAGGATCAATGCCTTTGAGTTGCGATGCTGGAGAAGAGTATTGAACATACCATGGGCTACCAAGAGAACAAACAAGTCTTTTCTGGAGAGGTTGGAAGCCAGGTTGTTCCTTGGAGGCAAGGATTTTGAAAACTGCATCTCACATATTTTGGTCATGTTGCCAGGAAGGACCAGTCCTTAGAGAAGGACATCATACTTGAAAGGGTGGAGGGACAGTGCAGGAGAGGAAGACCCTGGATGTGATGAATTGACACAGTGACTTTGGGTGTGGAGACAGGTGTGTCAGAGACATAGAGGTTGGTTCAGGACAGGGTTGGGTTCAGACCTGTTGTTCACAGGATCAATCTGAGTGGTAGTGAGATGGATAGCACATAACATCTGGTTACACGGCCACACAGTTCCCCTTGAGGCTTTTCTAGGCTGTAATCTCTACAGAGCGAGATCTCCAGGCCTTTCTCTGAAGGAGCACTGTGGGTTTAAATTGTCAAGTGTTATTAGCAGCTCAACACGCAACTCTTGTAGCACCAGCTTCTTTAATGGATTCTAGGTGGCTTTTTTTTAGGGGGGGGCATGAGAGGAGAGCTGATAAAAATGTTCTAGAACCAGCTAGAGGTGGTGACTTACAAAACAGTTTAAAAGATCTGAGTGGTTAAGTCACACTTGCTGGAAGTAACACTGACAGGAAGTGGAGGGCTGGAGAGATGAGAAGCTGAAGGACAGAATGGTGGACTCTGTTCCCATGCTGCCTTGAGACCCCAGAAGCACAGCTCAGCTCATAAAAACACAGCCATCTGGACAGGGGAGGGATATGCCTTTATTCTGAGCCCGTCTTCCCGTCTGAGAAATGGACACAGCCCATGTGTTGCACTCTCAGATCCGCACACAGTCCTGAGAGCGGCAAGCCTGGATCCATCTCTGACTCCTCCACTCTCTTAAACACATGTTCACACACGCCAGGTTCAAATGCTGCTTGTTTTTATTTGAGTCCAGATTAAGCAGTGGCTGAAGGGGCTGCCTCCACGGGGTCCCTCAGCTGGGCACAACTGGCTGGTGAGAACCAGTTTCCCCTCCACTCTGGAGTGTTGGAATGAGAGGGGGCCAGGCACGTGCCCCAGCTTCCCAGGCCACACGGGTGTCCCGTGACCCACCCCACTCTGTGTTCTGGCAGTAAGATGTGTGTTGGGTGAGATGTGGCTTTGGTTGTCCTGTGTCCCAGGGCCTGTCCCCTCACTCGTGTCTGGTCACTGCGCCATGTCTGGGTGTCGGTCTCTGTAGTGTGTAACGCACCATGGGAGGTGTGCAGAACTCACTGACCCCTGTGGCCTAATGTGGGCTGAGTGCTTTTTTGGGGGGCTCCTGAGGGGTTTAAAGGCTAAGGGAGTGCTGTAGAGATTTAATTTGGGGGGCTAGTGCCCCCAAGGTGCAGGATTGGACCAGCCCCAAAGGACGCACCCAGGCCCCTCCTCCACGGGGCTGGGTGGGAGAGGGCCAGCCTCGAGCTCAGTCGTGTGGGATCAGGGTCGCCCCCTCACAGGTGCTCGCTGGCCACCTGGGCCAGGATCTCCTTGATGCGGACGATGAGCTTCTCGTGCCGCCCAGGGTCGCGCTCGATGGCGTCGTGAAGCCGGGCCATGTAGAAGTCCAGCGTGCTCAGTGTGGGCGTCTCACCTGTGCCTGGGGGGGGGTCATCCACAGAATGGGGCGTCAGAGGTGGGGGGCCCTGTGAGGGCGGATGTCTGGTGGGAAGGTGGACAAGATGGGCATGGCGGTGCTGTGGAGCGGACTGTGGGGACTGATTAGTTTAGTCAAAACTAAATGACAGGGAGAGGCGCAAAGAAGTGGAGGTCTGGAGAGCAGGACTGCATGGGGAGGGGGCTGCCCAGAGGGGAGGTGCCAGGGGCGGCATGGGCGGAGCCAGCGCGCGCAGGGGTGGAGTCAGAGGCTGAGCGCGGCACCAGCGGGGCGGGTGGGCGGGGCCCGTGGAGGGGGTAAGGGGCGGCATGGGCGGAGCCAGCGCGCGCAGGGGTGGAGTCAGGGGCGGGAGGCTGAGCGGGCGGCACCAGCGGGGCGGGTGGGCGCGGGGCCCGTGGAGGGGGTAAGGGGCGGCATGGGCGGAGCCAGCGCGCGCAGGGGTGGAGTCAGGGGCGGGAGGCTGAGCGCACGGCACCAGCGGGGCGGGCGGGGTTCACCTGGCACCGGCAGCGAGGCGAAGCTGGCGGTGAGCGCCTGGCGCACGGCCTGGAGCTGCTGTTGCAGCGCCAGCGTCCGCCGCTCCTCCAGCGCCAGCTCCTGCTCCAGGCGCTCGCGCGCGCTGCTCATGCTCTGCGTGTGCCGCTGCAGCACCGCGTTCTGCTCCTCGAAGGCCACGTTCATCTTCCGCAGGCGCCGCAGCTCCGCCTCCCGCGCTGCAGGGGGTGGGGCAGGTCAGCACCCCGCGGGTCCCGGACCCCTTCGTGCCCCTCTGCGGGCCCCGGACCCCTCCGCGACCCCCTTCACCGCCTGCACCTGTGACCAGCCACGGGCCACCTCGCTCACCTTTGTTTTGGTCCAAGAACTCTTCGGTGAAGATGGGGACATCGAAGGTGGAAAAGCCATCGCAGTCCCCACCCTGGGGCAGAGGGGCCATTTATTCTCAGGGACAGCCACACCCCATCCTGAGATGTCCCCCTTCCCTCGTGCATCTCCGTGCATCTCCTCGGATCACCCACAACTCTCCCGTCTGAGACTGCTCCCCAGGACAGCTCCACTTGCACTCCACACCCTTCCCCTCGCCCCCAGCCACGTGAAGTGGTCTCTCTTCTTACCTTGTGTCCATTCAGCAGCGTGTTCATGAGCCCCCCGCCCGAGTCCTCTGGTGGGGCAGGGAGAAGAGCAAGGTCAGTTTCTCTGCATCCACACTTAGCACAAGCTGTTCCCTCCTCCTGGAACACCCCAGCCCACATCCGAGCCTTCACAACTGCCCAGCTCGGACTCTCTCGACTCCCACGGAGGGGATGGGGGCAGGCCTGGCCCGTCACTGCTACTCAGGGGGTGAGGGGTCTGCAGCAGCTCCCCCAGGCCAGACCTACCCTTCTTTTTTTTTTTTTTTTTTTTAGACCTACCCTTCTTGATTTTCTTTTCCTGGATCTTTTCCGTGCACATCTTGTAGGCCTCGGACTGCTGGTAGGCTCGCAGCTCCTTCATGTACTGCTGCTTCTCCCGCTCAGCCTCGTCCAGGTACCGCTGGCCGGGGCAGAAAGACAGGGCTGGCACTCCTGAGCTTCCCAAAGCTCCCCACTTCCCTTGGGACAGAGATCCCAACAGGGTACCTTGGAGCCCCTCCACCTCACTCCAGCCTTCCCTCCTGCACCAACTTCTGCCTTGACAACACAGCCCCTCACTGTGAACCCGCTCGGCCATTCCCCACTCCAGTTTGTGCTAAATCCCTACAGCTTTCCACACTGTTTGTCTGACAAAACAGAATGTTTCCAATCCCAATGACAGAAATCTGCTGTCCTGGAGTCGCTATCGACTTGGTCATTCCTCCTCTCCCCCCCAATCGGGTTTCCGAGGCTGTAATTGTGTGTGTGTGTGTGTGTGTGTGTGTGTGTGTGTGTGTGTGTACCGTCAAATCAGATCTGACTGAAACAGGAGGAGATTGCCCCTCCTTCTCCAGCAGAGCATCTGGTGGATTCGAACCGCATACCTCTGGGACTGCAGTGCACCTTCTTACCACTAGGCCACCAGAGCTCCCTGAGGCTGTAAAATTTTTTTTTCCCTCCTTCCCCGGCAGAGCATCTGGTGGATTTGAACCTTACGTCTCTCGGATTGTAGTTGCAGTTCCTTGCCACTAGGCCCCCAGAGCTCCCTGAGGCTGTAAATTTTTAACAAAAGGTGACTGTCCATCTTTCTCTGACGATGTGGTTGCTGGATCCGAACTGCCGACCTTTTGATTAGCAGCACAGCTGGACTACACCACCGGAATGCCCAGTGGAGGTGGGTGTCAGTGACGTTTCACTTAGGATTTTGCAATTTTAAAATGAAAGAAAACCAAAAGGTTTTACATAAAAATCGAAGCCCAGCCCCACTTCCTCAAACCTGGTGACACTGTTGGGGTTTAGCCTATTCTGCACTCTTACTGCCCCTTCCTCCAACTGCTGTGAGGACCACTGAGCTCATTCCCACTCACTGTGACACCACGTGGCAGCGCTGAACTCAAGGTTTTCTTAGCTAAGACTGCAGATGGCCAGGATCTAGTGATTGGAACTGCCAGGCTTTCCTTATCAGCCCAGCGTTTATTCAGTGAGATGTGGCAATTCCATAGACGGGAGGAGGACCCTCCGTGCCCGATCTCTGCGGCTATGGCTGCTACCCTCAGAGTCACGTGCTGTGAGGGCCGGGGTGCCAGCTCGCACACCTGCTTCTCAGCCGGCTGCAGCTTGCTCCACTCGGCACCCAACATCTTGGTGATCTCGGGGAAAGGCAGGTCCGGGTGGCGCGTGCGGATCTGTTCCCGGCGCTCGTTCAGGAAGCGCACGTAGCCCGTGACTGGGGCTTTGGGTCCATTCGGTAGAATTTTCTTCCGCTTCTTGCCCTTGGGCCAGCCACGCTTCTTCACGGGCTGCAGAACAGGGCCTCAGCTGAGAGGGACCTGGAGGGCTAGGACGGGGCTGGGGCTAGACAGGTGGGTGGGACCTAGCGGGGTGGGGGTGGGGGGCTGGGGGTAGAGCCTGGTCAGCAGTCAGGACACTGAGGGGATCTGACCAAGAAGAAGAGAAGCTGAGGCCCCTCCGACTGGATGGAGCCGGTTTAAGTGATGCACATGAACCGTGTGGATGTGTCTTATTGTAGGAAGATGGCTCTCAAACGCATCAACAGAGCAGGCCTTCAGGAAAGGTGAATTTAGCACAGGCAATGAGCGCAGCCTGGACCTGCTAGGGGCGTGGTGTCTGGCACCCGGCAGGAAATCTGGGTTCAGCGCGCAGCCATACAGACATAAATTCATTCAGGAGGGCGGGGTGTCAATGTTGAGGGCGGGATGTGAGACTCTATCTCTCGGTGTGGGGCCTCTCACCTCCTCCTCCTGCGGCCCCTTCTCTCCAGCCTTCGGGCCCTCGCCTCGCTCTTGCTTTACAGCTACCACGAATGCTCCATGCTGGCCTGGAGCCTTGTTGGCTGCTGGCCTGAAATCATCAAATACTAGGGTCACCATCCATCCCTAGCCTCCTCCGGCCTGCGCCCCGTGCTTTTAGGGGGGTGGAGCCCCCAGGAGGGGGCATGCATCTGGGGGCTCAGGACACCTTGAGTCCGGCAGGAGCATTATTAGGGGGTACAAGGAAGGTGAGACGCTGGGCCCCACCAGAAAAGGGGAGGGGCGGTGTGGGGAGGAGCCCAAAGAGACCCGCAGGGCAGGAGGACCTGACCCAGGAGTGAGGATCCGATTGAGGGGGCGGGGCGGGGATCGTGGAGCTCAGCAGGGAAAACTGGGGTGCTCAAACAGGATGGAGGCTGCAGCCCCAGGTGGGCTCGAGGGGGGCGGGGGAGGCGATGCACTCACGCGGCGGCGGCGCCGGGCTGCTTGGGGCCGTGGGACATGGCCGCTCCAGGCCAGACCTGAAACAGAGGTCAGGGCGGAGGTGAGGGGGCCTCAGGCAGCATCCTGACCTGAGCCTCCCAGCGGGGACCCTTGCAAAAGCCGAACCCGGGACACCTGGGGGGGGGCTGGATCCGGCGGGGAGGCCTCGAGGGCGGGCGCCCCGGGATCCTTTGTTGGGTGATCGCCCCCCCGGGAGGCCCAGGTTCGCTTATCCCGGCGTAGGAAAGAACCCCCTTCGGCCCGGGGACCCCCGCACCCCCGCCTCCGGCCCGAGCCCTAAGTTTCTGGGCTGTTTTCACCTCCAAAGAAACTTTCCCGAAGCTTTTAGGTTGCTGCGACGCTTCAACCAACCGCCTGGCGCCCCGCCCCCGCCAGCCACCCCGCCCCGCCCCTGGCATGTTACTAAAACTTTCTACCAGCGCTTGGATTGGGTAAAGCTTCTCCGTGAGGCGTGACCATGCCGGTGAAAGTCGGCGCGCCAGCGTGCGATTGGCTGGCGAGGCCGGCCGGCCACAAGTAAAGAGGGCGGGAAAGCCGCGGGCGGTGCGTCAAGTTCGGCTGCACCCAGCCACTCTCGGAACCAATCAGGGTGCGGCGGGGGCTTCGCGGGGCGGAGCTTCTTAAAGGGCCAGTATCGCAGACAAGACTCCTCCTACTCAATTTTAAGGTGAGACACCCCACCCCTGCCAGATTGGAGGACTGGCGGATCCGGCTTGGGCCCCGCCTCAGTTGCCATCGTGACGGCGGTAGGTTGCTACGGAAGGTGTTAAAAGTCCCAAGGTGGATACTGTTTTGCACCTTGCAAAACCTTGTAGGGCGAACACTTGTTTGTTGTTATGTGCCGTCGAGTCGCCTGTGACTCATAGCGACCCTATGTCCAACAGCCCTAAACCTTGATTACTCCATTCACTGAATCAATGCACCTCATAGAGGGTCTTCCCCTCTTGTGATGTCCCTCCACCCTACCAAGCATGATGTTCCTTCTCCAAGGACCTGTCTCTCCTTGCAACAAGTCCAAAGTATGTCAGACGAAGCTTCAGAATCCTTGCCTCCAAGGAGGAGCCTGATTTAACCCTCTCCGGGATGAACGTTTGTTTTCTTAGCAGTCCCTAAAACTTTGTGGCCCTGCTTTTCTAGACATTCCCTGATGGATCCTGGAAACATTGCACAGTGCCCAGGGACCAACGTCGATGAGGGAGGTCAGCTGTGAGCCTGCAAGGCGGCTTTACTTTGTGGTTTTGGGGATCTCCAAATCTCTCTATGTGGTTTGGGCTGCGATAGTCCCTGTTCGCAGGTTATCTGTGGTAGACACTGTGTTCTCATGCTGGTCATTATATCCTAAACAGTTCACCAGCTAACAGCCCTGCTTTGTCCTTCTCGCTAGCTGGCCTCCTCACTGTCCCTCCAATTCCTCAGACAATGGTCCTGCCTCAAGGCCTTTGTGCTGGTGGTTTCTTCTGTGTGGAATCCCCCCACCCCCGGTATATTGTCCCCTCCTTCAGGTCTTTATGCAGATGTCACCTTGTCCATGGGACCATTTTATGATTTTTACACTGCCCATACACCAGAGAGTTGGACAATGACTAGGGAGGATAGAAGAATTGACGCCTTTGAGCTGTGGTGCTGGAGAAGAGTATTGACTGTTCCATGGACTGCCAAGAAAACAAACAGATCCATCCTAGAGAGAGTTAAACCAGGCTACTCCTTGGAGGCAAGGATTCTGGGGCTTTGTCTGACATACTTTGGACATGTTGCAAGGAGAGACAGGTCCTTGGAGAGGGACATCATGCTTGGGAGGGTGGAGGGACAGTGCAGGAGGGGAAGACCCTCTATGAGGTGAATTGATTCAGTGACTCAGGTAATCGGGATGGGAGTGTCGGAGACAGTGCGATTAGCACAGGATAGAGCAGGGTTTAGGGCTGTTGTACATAGGGTCGCTATGAGTTGCAAACAACTCGACGGCACATAACAACAACAACAACACTGCCCATACAACTGGTCTCATTTTTCTTTGTTTGTTGGATAATTTGCCTCCTTGGTTCATCACTATATTCCTAGCACCTAAAAATGGGAGAAAGAAGCATAATCTCCTCCCCTGTGATTTACAGCCTTTGAAACCCCACCATGCTCAAGTCTATCATTGGAGCTTGAGGAAGACCCAGCCACAAAAAGAAAGGCAGCTCCAATGCTTGCCACAGAATGAATGGACCTCACTTTCAGGAGCCAGACACAAAAAGACTCATAGTGTCAGATTTTACTTAAATGAACGTGTCAGTTTTGAGTCAGTTCTGACTTCATGGCACACAACAACATTAACACCTAAAACAGCACACACAGCAGGTCTGCAATATACTTACTCTCTGAATAGAGCAATGTTGTTGTTGTTATGTGCCGTCGAGTCGCCTACGACTCATAGCGACCCTATGTACAACAGCCCTAAACTCTGCTCTGTCCTGTGCCAATCGCACTGTCTCTGACACTCCCATCCCGATTATCCTAGTCACTGAATCAATCCACCTCGTAGAGGGCCTTCCCCTCCTGCGCTGTCCCTCCACCCTCCCAAGCATGATGTCCCTCTCCAAGGACCGGTCTCTACTCACAACATGTCCAAAGTATGTTAGACGAAGCCTCAGAATCCTTGCCTCCAAGGAGCCACCTGGTTTAACCCTTTCCAGGACAAATCCGTTTGTTTTCCTAGCAGTCCATGGTATTCTCAATACTCTTCTCCAGCACCACAGCTCAAAGGCATCAATTCTCCTTCCATCCTCCTTGGTCATTGTCCAACTCTCTGATGCATAACAAGTGATTGTGAAGACCATAGCTCCTGTAAATGTCTAAGAGGAAGTGGCAGCTGCTGGCTGGTGCAGTACGCACTAAGCACTAAGCAGAATGTTGGAGTGTCCAACTCACCCAGAGGTGCCTCGCAGGAAAGGCCTGGTGATCTGCCCCCGAAGGGTCACAGCCTTAAAAATTCTGGGAAGCAGATGGACTCTGTGCATGTGAGGATGCCATGAGTCAGAATAGATAGCAGGTAATAACAGCGGCAAGTGCAGCAGCTGTGAAAAAGAACCACTTGGCAGGTCCCCAGGAAGCTCAATCTAGGGTTCCTGCACGGCCCAGAAAGTCCACTCCTGTATCTAGACAGATCCAAGAGAAATGCAAACACTTGTCCACACACACACACCCCGGCGTGTTCACTGGGGAACCGTTCCCAGTCACCAAATGGCACAGATGACCTGAGGTGTCCAAGTGACGCTGGATAAACAGAGCGCTGTCCATCCGCACAATGTGGACCAGCAGGTGGTGCCAAGCGGATGACAACTCAGTGGCCCTGTGAACAAGCGCGAAACCTTGCCCTGTCCTGTACGACCCGCACAGTCCACCTCGCTCAAACCCATCACTGGAGCTTGAGGAAGACGCAGCCACAAAAAGGAAAGCAGCTCTGAGTGAATGGTCACAGAACGAATGGACCTCACCTTCGGGAGCCAGACACAAAAAAAAGACGCATAGTGTCTGATTCTACTTAAATGAAACGTCCAGAACAGGCCAGCCCACAGAGACAGAGAGTTGACTAGTGGTTGCCCAGGGCCTGGAAAACAGCCACAAGTTTCTTTTTTGGTGAAGATGTTCTAAAATTAGATTGTGGGATGATTGTACAACTCTGCGTATTTACTAAAACACACTCACTCGGACACTTCAAATGGGTGAATCATAAGGCATCTGAATGAAACCTCAATAGACCTGGTGTCATTTATTCCCCAAAGAGGCAGCTCAGGGCTGGGCAAGCGTGAGCGGAAGCAAATCCAAATTCCAGACTCCACGCGGTTCTTTAATGGACCATGCGGCGTCCAAGCCTCCAGTCTCAGTGCTCAGCAAGAAACAACCCGCGTGTCCCAGCGCTGAGGATGGACGATAGGGCCCTGTCACACCGCAAAATGGGGTCCAGAAAGGGTGTCCTGTGTGTACAAGGATGACCCTTGTAAACACGCTGAGCTAAAGAAGGCAAGACTGTGAGTCCACCGAGGTGGCACATGACCAGGACCAAAGTCCCTTTGGGGCCATGAGGTTGGGTAGGGGCCAGAAAGGGGAGTCCTTGCTGGAGTTAGAGGACTTGGAAAAGGACAGTAGGTCGTTGGATTCACTGCACTGTACACACAAAACTAACTGCACGGGCAAATGTTTTGTAACATGTATTATAGCCCACTGCTAAAACAGTGCAGGTGACTGCCCTGGCAACCACCTTCAGAGGCCCGCCTCTTGGGCTTGATTGACAAAGGAGAGGTTGCCCTGGAAACAAGGGACCGAGCCCTGTTCAAAGACAACAATAAAAAAAAAAAGTTTTAAAATAAAACATTAACGGATGTTTGGCGTGCGACCAGGCGGCATCTGCTCCGCTGTGCAGAGGCCGCCGGAAGTCAGGGGTGACCTGACACAGCTCAGGTTACCAACACTCCCCTTTTACAGTGCGGTAAACTGAGACTTAGCTACTTGTTCAAGACTGTCAGGATTTGATCCTGGCCTTTCTCCCATCCCCCATGGGCCGCTCTCAGCTCTCGGAAGTGCTTCTGAAGCCTGGGACACCTCCCCATTTTCCTGGCCCTGGGTCAGTGGGGCAATATCAAAGCCAGCCCTTGGCTGACCCCTCTGCGGTGGTCTCACTCGGCGCCAGGACGTCTGATATCAGCCTGGGGCAGGCAAAGGCCAGCCTGGCATCCGGGAGCTGGGACCGCTTGGGAGACATCAAAAGTTGCCAGGATCTTTCCTGATACCCAGCCTCTGTGGCCGGCAGGTCATCCCTCCCACAGGCTGAGAATTTATCTCTCCTTCCTGTCAGCATCTACCCATGACCAGGCCATCTCTTATCTTCACCCCCAATCCCAGCCCCTCTTACTCAGGTCCATGTCCCTGCCACACCACGATGGGGAGGCATGCGGGGACGACGGCTGCATTGCTGTTAGGTGTCAGGTATGACTCTGAGACCACCTTTCTCAGAATCCCATCACGGCTCCCCGGTGAGCTCAGGTTGTTGAGGGCAGAGGCCCAGGGGCCGGTTCTGACACGGCGATTCCTTGTACAGCTAGATACTGCCTGGTCCTGACCGGCCTCACCTCCTGGTCCTGAACCACCTCACCGCCTAGTCCTAAACCAACCTCACCGCCCGGTCCTGACCAGCCTCACCTCCAGGTCCTGAACCAGCCTCACCACCCAGTCCAGACCAGCCTCACTGCCCGGCACCGCTGGAGCCACTCCGTCCATCCATCCCGGGGGGCGCGCTCTATTCCCTGACCCCCTCCAAGCACGATGCCCCGCTCCCAGACACCCCCTCTGATAAGGGGTACGAGCCC